GAGAGGAAGGGCTAAGAGAGAGACTGAATCAGCAAGAATCTATGCTCCTGCAAGTTTTGAACGCCCCAAACATCAGATTTCATCTGATTCCTGGCTCCTGGGGAAAAGACATCATTTTCCCTGGGAAAATGCCCATTCTTTGTGGACATTCCCCCTGGCCCACCCTGGGCACCCAATCTAGAAATTTGCGCATTTTGCTGGATTTCTCCAAAACTAAAGCTGCCAGAATCTAGGCCCCTGCAAGTGCTCAGAGCCCCAAATGCCAGATTTCATCTGATAACCAGACCTGGAAACATGCCTTTCTTTTCCCCTGGAAAAGTGTTTCTGTTTGTGGCCACTCACACTGGACAACACCGGCTACCCAAGCTAGAAATATGCAAATTTTGCTGGATTTCTCCAAAACGAAAGCTGCAGAAATCTAGGCCCCTGAAAGTGCACAGACCCTCAAATGCCAGCTCCATCTGATGTCCAGACCCTAGGGAAATGACTTTCTCCTCCCTGGAATATTGCTTCGGTTTGCGGCCACTCGCCCTGGCCGGCCCGGGCCACCCAAGCTAGAAGTTTGCAAATTTTGCTGGATTTCTCCAAAACTAAAGCTGCCAGAAACTAGGCCCCCGCATGTGCCCAGAGGCCCAAATGGCAGATTTCATCTGATACCCAGACCCAGAAGAAATTACTTTCTTTTCCTCTGGAAAATGACTCCTGTTTGCGGCCACTCACGCTGGCCGACACTGGCCACACAAGCTAGGAATATACAAATTTTCCTGGATTTCACCAAAAGTAAAGCTGCGAGAATCTATGCCCCTGCAAGTTTTCAACGACCCAAACGCCAGCTTTCATCTGATGCCCAGACCCTGGGGAAATGACACCATTTTCCCCTGGAAAATGCCCTTTCTTTGTGGACACTCGCCCTGGCCAACCCTGGCCACCCAATCTAGGAATTTACAAATTTTGCTGGATTTCTCCAAAACTGAAGCTGCCAAAATCTAGGCCCCGGCAAGTCCTCCAAACCCCAAATGCCACCTTTCATCTGATGCCCAGACCCTGGGGAAATGACTTCATTTTCCCCTGGAAAATGGCCTCTGTTTGCGGCCACTCGCAACCGCTGACCCAGGCCACCCAAGCTAGAAATTTGCAGATTTTGCTGGATTTCACCAAAGGTAAAGCTGCGAGAATCTATGCCCCTGCAAGTTTTCAGAACCCCAAATGCCAGATTTCATCTGATTCCTAGCCCCTGGGGAGTTGACTTCATTCTCCAGTGGAAAATGCCCTTTTTTTGTGGAGACTCGTCCTTTCCGTCCCTGGCCACCCAAGCGAGAAATTTGCAAATTTCGCTGGATTTCTCCAAAACTAAAGCTGCCAGAAACTAGGCCCCTGGAACTTCTCAGAGCTCCAAACGCCAGCTTTCTTCTCATGCCCAGATCCTGGGGAAATGACTTCATTTTCCCCTGGAAAAGCGTTTCTGTTTGTGGCCTCTCACACTGGACAACACTGGCTACCTAAGCTAGAAATATGCAAAATTTGCTGGATTTCTCCAAAACTAAAGCTGCCAAAATCTAGGCCCCTGCAAGTGCACAGACCCTCAAATGCCATCTATCATCTGATGCCCATACCCTGGGGAAACGACTTCATATTCTAGCGGAAAATGGCCTCTGTTTGGGCCACTCGCCCCCGCCGACCCAGGCCACCCAAGCCAGAAATTTGCAAATTTTGTTGGATTTCTCCTATACTGAATCAGCGAGAATCTATGCCCCTGCAAGTTTTTAGAACTCGAAACGCCAGATTTCGTGTGATTCCTAGCCCCTGGGAAAATGACTTCATTTTCCCCTGGAAAATGCCCTTTATTTGTAGCTACTCGCCCTGGCCAACCCTGGCCACCCAACCTGGAAATTTGCAAATTTTGCTGGATTTCTCCAAAACTAAATCTGCCAAAATCTAGGCCCCTGGAAGTCCTCCACACCCCAAATGCCACCTTTCATCTGATGTCCAGACCCTGGGGAAATGGCATCATTTTCCCCTGGAAAATGCCCTTTCTTTGCAGACACTCGCCCGGTCCGACCCTGGCCACCCTAGGTAGAAATTTGCAAATTTTGCTGGATTTCCCCAAAATTAAAACTGCCGAAATCTAGGCCCCACTAAGTGCTCAGAACCCCAAACGCCAGCTGTCATCTGATGCCCAGACCCCGGGGAAATTACTTCATTTTCCAATGGAAAATCTCCTTTCATTGCGGCCAGTCGCCCTGGCCGGCCCTGGCCACCCAAGCTGGAAATGTGCAAATTTTCCTGGATTTCTCCAAAACTAAAGCTGCCAGAAACTAGGCCCCTGCAAGTGCTCAGAGCGCCGTATGCTGGATTTCATCTGATGCCCAGACCCTGGGGAAATTCCTTCTTTTTCCCCTCGAAAATGGCCTCTGTTTGCAGCCACTAGCCATGGCCGAGAATGGCCACACAAAGGTAGAAATTTGCAAATTTTGCTGGATTTCTCCAAAACTTAAGCTGCCAGAATCTAGGCCCATGCAAGTGCTCAGAGTCCCAAACGCCAGATTTCATCTGACACCCAGACCCAGAAGAAATGCCTTTCTTTTCCCCTGGAAAATTGCTTCTGTTGGTGGCCGCTCTCCCTGGCCAACACTGGGCACAGAAGCTAGAAATACGCAAATTTTGCTGGATTTCTCCAAAACTGAATCAGCCAGGATCTAGGCCCCTGCAGGTGTTCAGAACCCCAAACGCCAACTTTCATCTGATGCCCAGACCCTAGGGAAATGACTTCATTTTCCCCTTGAAAATGGCCTCTGTTTGAGGCCACTCGCCCC